ATTAGATGGAAAGTCTCAGATGGATACAATTTTCAATTGAAACCATTTTAATTAAGATCTGGACATTGTTTGGTTGATGTCTGAACATAAAACTGATTTAAACTGGAAAGGGAGCCTTCACAATAGACTTTCTGATAGAGATTGACAAGGCCAGAGGCATGAAAACTTAACACTGGACAAGGGAATACTGGCAACCAACAGAGAAATTGAATACAAATCAAAATAGGAGTAAAAAATAAGAAAACAAATAAACAAATGAGGACATGTAGGTGCATCGAATCAGCTAGTTAACAGAAGGTTCAGGCGAGAGGAGAAAATGAATAAATGGCACAAAAAAAAAAAAACACAGGAAGAAACTAAGAGAACCTATCAAAAAATAATGAATAGAGAAGTTAAGAACACAATGTATTAAAACACACACAAAAAATACAAGAGAAATATGACAGAATGCACATGGTAAAAAGATAAAATAAAATAAACAAAGAAAAGCATGCAGCAAACTCCAGAATATGGCAAGCCATAATAAACCAAATCAAATCCAAAAGCCAACAGTTTTCCATCCAAGATTGTATTTAGGTACAGCCATCAGCCTCTCTGACTTTCTTCCTTGTCTATACTAAAGAAGAGCATCCCCACAGCATCATGCTTCCCCCACCATACCTCAGTAGTGACTGAAATCAGCTGACTCAGGTAATTTTCTGCTTTTAGAAATGGCACGGGCCTTGCATATTTTCCCCATTTTTGTATGTTAGTAAGATCATTGTCGCAAGTATTGCAAGAAAACTGGTGGAAGCTGGGAAATGTTTTACAGATCCCACGGTGTCAAGAGAGTTAGCTCTAAAAAAAAATACAAACCCAGAGGAATGCTAAATAAAAAACAGAATAACAGTATTCTGATTTGATTACTCTTCATCTTAGATCTCAACAGATCCGTGCTTTCACATTTCTCGGGACTGTGTTGAGGTGTGCTGTGTAAACTCACTCACCCCAGTTGATCAATAGCTGCTCTTCAGAGTGAGCTCTATTCTCAGAGCAGATAGCTTGTTACATCAGCAGCTCACTTTTTGGGATAATGCTGTGTCACTGTACCAGCAGCCACACACTGACTCATACTGTAAAAAGAGCTGCATGGCCTAAAACCAGACAGAGACAGGTAGAAATTTACCAGTGAGCATTAGATGAAGAAAAAATGTATACCTTGTTTATTGCAATGTTTCATCTGCAGAAAATGCCTTGCTCTAGTAGTCACACAGCTTAGAGTTTCAGTCAAGAATCTTCAGGATTTTACCAAAACAATCGTTTATAGCAAAATATATATATATATATATACAGTTTAGTCTAGTTCAAACACAATATAAAAAGAGTAGCATGCATCAGTAAATCCAGCTGCCTAAGAAGTCTCTTCATTAGTTAAAATATTGTGTCTGCAGGTGTAATTTAATCTCAAAGTAAATCCTGATGTTCTGTGAAGGCATTGGATGCAGAGAGTATCAGTGACCAAACAGCATCACGAAGAACACAGCAGAAAGGTTAAGGAGATAGTTCTGAGAATGCTTGGAGCAGAGACACAATAGAAACGTATACCCCATTCTTTAAGCATGACAAATAGGTTTGTTTACAAGAAAATCAAAAGATTACAGAATAACCAGCATCTGCACCGTGATACCAGCACTGATAGGAGGGTCAATTAGAGCAGTGTTTCCCATCCTTTTTTGACATTTGTACCCCTTTTTGCATCTTGAGTACTCCTCTCAGTCAAAAGTGTTGATGATTGTCCAAAAGTGGAAAATAAATTAAATGAATATAAATCAAAACTAGTTTAGTTAATCTTTTGATTTGAGCATTTAATTCTTTTCTTCTCAAAGTATTTTATGCTTTCATCTAAAAAAAAAAAACCCAACATAAATATGTTGCCTGGAAGCTAGTAAAGAATCAAAATAGATAAAATCCTATTACCGGTATAAACCTGTATTTATTAAACTGGAGTTCCTCTGAGTAACCCCCTTAAAATCACATTTAAACTTGATGAATTAGGAACAAAATACTGAACAAACATTATAGTCAGACAGACTTAATTAGTTTTACTATTTTTATCAAGAAACCTGAGCTGCTTTGATGAGCTCATTGTGAAAAACAGCCGATCCCAGGCTGTTCTCTACATCCAGTCTGTTCCTCTGCTTGGTTTTAATGTGTTTCAAAGCTAAAGGTGAACTCAAACATATAAGAAAAACATACTTTTTGGTTGATAAAAGCTTGTTTAATTTTTCAACTGGATCCTTGCAAAGCAAAACAAGTCCCAGCCATATTTTATTTTACCACCTAAGAAAAAAAATATTTTCATCTACCCCTTGCAATGTGGATAGAGTGACTATTTCTATAGCACCAAAAAGGAGGACCTTATGTGGCATATCAATAAATCGCTAAGGTGTACTTTAGAATGAGAGATTTAAAGAGGATGCTTGTGTAACTTAACAGGATAAAAAAAAAAAAAGTAAAAAAGTATTGGTTCACAGTATATGTATTTATTCAATACTTTGTGATGTGCAAAAAGGGACCACTGAGATTAATCTTTTAAAGTGCAAAATGCCACAAAGCATAATATGTGTGGAGTTAAATGTAAAAAAAAAATAATAATTTAACAGGTAACATAGATAATAAAAAAGCCAAACGTTTTATTTAAACAAAAAAGAGATTGTAAAAAAAAACAACAAAAAAACACATTCAACTGATCAAAAGTTATATATTTTTAAAAAAAGCTTCACTATGGTACACTTTATTCAGCTCAGCAGCAGTTATTTTGGCATCCAAGCCCTGAGATACCTGCTTCACATTTATTACTTTTATCTTAAGCCAACCTTGCATGCAGTTTCATTGCAGCTTTCCCTCGACTGCTTATGTCCACCTCGCATCGACAAAGTGTGCAGAAGCCATGGAATGAGTGTCAACCCCTCTTTGTCATCAATTCTTTTGAGTTAGAGTTAAATGAGGTGTTGCGGTTTGGCATGATGGTAAATTTATTTCAATGTACTTTGACAGCACTCTAATTCTTTTTTACTTTTTTAACCAATGACAAGCAGATATTTATCCAGCACGGCACCACACTTAGCCAATAATCTGTTAGACCAGATAGTCAATAATTTCTTAACATTCTGATTGAATATTGTGCTACAACCCAGCGCAAATGAAAAAAGAAAATAAAATGCTCTTCAAGCCTTGTGCATCATAAAAGAGGACAAATACTCATCCAGCTGGAACATGCAATGAAAATCCGGACTGTCCAGCTTGAAGCCGGACATCTGGTCACCCTACTCATGGACCACTAAGGGTTAGTGTACCCCTAGTTGGGAATCACTGAAGTAGAGCATCAGTCAGGGAAACAGCCAAGATGGCTAACACTGGAGGAGCTTTCAAGAGCAAAAGTGAAGACAATAATATCTTTTAGGATCACTGTTACTCAAAAACTCCCTCATCTTGTATTTATGTAGAAATGGAACAGCTAAAAGCCATAAGAAGCTCAAATGTTTGCCAGCAGCCAGGAGGACACTTCATGATTGGTCATATGGGACCAAATCTTAATTTTTATCCTACATGCAGAACACTCTGTCCAAAAACAATGAAAGTCCCATTCAGCACATCAGTTCAGACAATATTAAACATGCAGATGGAAACACCATACTCTACTTCAGAACAGAAGCTAGGATAAATAGTTATGAGGTTTAACTATTTTACAAAGCATAATAAGGGATTTAAGTATAAACTGTGACGACTTGAGTCAGGTCAAACTCATGACTTAAGACTTTACTTGAACTTATCTTTAGTTGAAATGACCTGATGCTCTTAGTAAAGTCAGGAAATAGTTAGGAAGTCTATCCCCGCTAACAAGGAGCAAAAGGTTAAA